GATTTCACAATCACAGTCCATAATATGAGATACCCAGATAAGGTAAATTTATAGAAACAGCAGAATAGAGGTTAGCAGTGGTTGGTGGGTAAAGATGAGAAATGGAGAAGAATTATTTGATAGGTACAGAGTTTCTGTTTGGGGTGATCAAGTTTTGGAATAGGTAGCAGTGATAGTTATACAGCATTGTGAATATTCTTAACGCCTCTGAATTGTGTGTCTAAGAATGGGCCAAGTGGTATACTGTTTGTCTATGTATTGCCGTGATCAAGGAAAAGAAGCCATTATGCTCCTGTAGTGCTCACCATCCAGGAAATTCTTGTGTGGAGATTAAATGCTGTGTGCTTAGAATAGGTCTGTTACCTTCAGCCCTGTTTCTGGTAGAAACTGAATTGATTTTCCCTTCAAATGCTCCAAGACAATGATGTCTCCTCTTCCTCCTCTCCTCAGGAAGGCAGGAGGATATACGGCACATCTTTCAGCATTCAGATTACTCATCTGTCTGCTTTTTGGAACTCTAAAAAGAAATTCATTTTCTTTTGGGAAATATTTGGATAATTCTGCAGTGAGTTTTTCTTGTGTTTCCTGTTTGTTTCCAGTCAGGTCCCTCCATGCCCAGAAGTGCTTCAAGTGGCACCTCTTTTCTTTTTTTTAAAGATTTATTTATTTATGCATACAAGAACTGGGGTATAAGCCAGAGGTGCGGGGTGGGTGAGAGGATTCACCAGAGACAGAGTGAGCAGAACAGGTGGATTGACTGAAATAACTACTAAGGGGAGCAGCCAGCGAGACAGAAAGTTAATTAGAAAAGTTAATTGTGGGTCACCTCCCTGCCTGGGGATCAAACTCAGTGCTGCAGTGGCTGGCGATAGTGCAATAGCGCTGACTTTAACCCCTGCACCACCAGGGAGGCCCCCAAGTGGCACCTCTTTTCATAGGAAATCAGTTGAACTCTTCAACCTTTTCTAGGTTGAAAATAGCACGAGGGGCAAGAGGCAGCTTCTCATTCTGTTTCCCTGCCCTCCCCACCCCCTGGACCTCCTCTGTGGCTCTGAGTAGATTACTGAATGTCTCTGACCCCTACATGGCGTATTTCTGCTTCCTCAAAGGTGAATAGTGATGACTTAACAAAGGTTTAGTCAAGGAACTTAGCCCATTTTTTGAGATTCTTACGTTAGGTTCTATTTTAGCAAGTCTCATATTTAGTGCCCATCACTGCAGCACGAGTTTGATCCCCAGCCAGGGATCAAACAGTAGACCTTTACTGTCTTGCCTGCTGCTCCCCTCAGCAGTGTGTTTCTGTCAGTCTGCTTGTTCTGCTCCCCACTCTGTCTCTGGTGAATCCTCTCACCCTCCACCCCCATTAATATTTTATAATGGGGCTCAGTAGATTGGAATAAGAGAGAAGGATGTGAATAGCCATAGCAGTACTCTAAATCCAGAAACAATAAGGTATCCTAAAGTCTTTGTATAGGCGCGTGTGTGTGTGTGTGTGTGTGTGTGTGTGTGTGTGTGTGTGTGTGTGCTTTTAAACTTTAGATTGTCAGCATAATGGAAACAATCTGTGACATTTAAAGAGAAATTGAATTTTCTTTCTGCAGCTGATCTGGCCTTCAGTTCTATTAGTGGTAGGACAACTTGCTTGCATTTTCACAGTTGCCTCTTTCTGTTTGTCACAGGATCTCAGAAATAAGAATGTGCTTGTATAATTTCATAAATATGATCATTATAACTGGGATACAATTTGTTTATTTTCAGACTGCTTCTTTTGGACCCGTTCCTTAAGATGTTAAAGTTTAGGGCCTCCCCTCGTGGCTCAGGCAGTTGAGCGCAGCGCTGTGAATCTGTCCGCAGCCTCTACAGCACTGGTTCGATCCTGGCTGGCCAGCAAGGGTCCCACATGGTGTGGCAGACCTCTCCTGTCTCGCCCACTGCTCCCCTCAGCAATGTATTTTGTCAGTCTGCCCGTTCTGTTCCCCGCTCTGTCTTTGGTGAATCCTCTCACCCTCCCGCACATCTGGCCTGTACCCCAGTTCTTATATAAATAAATAAATAAATAAATCTTTATTAAAAAAAAAAGAAGTTAAAGTTTAAATGTGCCTGGAGATGTGATGAGAGTCTTGTATACTCCATAGTGAGGTGGTTCTGTGTGGTCTCCTGGGAAGGATGTGGAAGGCAACGGAGCCTGAGGCGGTGGCATTTGGAACTGAGAGAAGTTGAAGGTGCTTAGGTGTTTTTTCTTTGGGTGAGTTTGACATCTTGGTAGACCAAGATAATCCCAAACCCTATGTTGGGTTTTAGTTTATATACATTTTTTGCAGATGTAGTCTTTAGATCATCGTTGTGACATGATATTATTTCCAGCTGAGACTTTTGGGCTTAGATGATTCATTGGGGATCCCCCAGCCAGTAAGTGACCAATTCGGAAGGTCAACCTGTGTTTCTGACTTCATCCTTGTGCTCGCTGAGCTGCACCATGTGGGCTCAGGTCAGAGACGCTGCCAGGTCTGGCAGATGTGGATGGCACTGCAGTGTTGCAGTTAAAGTGTGGCAGCCAGAACTGATCAAGGCCTGGTTCTGTCATGTACCAGCCATTACTCAACCTCTGTGATCCTTACTTTGTTTGCCCATAACATTGAGATACTGATGCCTGTCTTCTGACAGTATTGTAAGGATTAAATGAGGTCTCGTGAGTAGATTGCCTCACAGAGTAGGTACTTGGTGGATAGGCCTTTCCTTCTCTGTCCTCTTATACTCCACATTTAAGTACCAAGCGAGATTTCCCTTTTGGTTGTTTATTTTTTTAAAGATTTATTTATTTATGCATACAAGAGCTGGGGTGTACGCCAGAGGTGCTGGGGGTGGGGAGATAACAGGATTCACCAGAGACAGAGTGGGGAGCAGAACAGGCAGATTAACAGAAATACACTGATGAGGGGAGTAGTGGGCGAGACAGGAGAGGTCTACTGTTGGATCCCTGGCTGGGGATCAAACTCGTGCTGCAGTGGCTGCTGATAGCTTCATAATGATGAGACTTAACTCATTGTGCTACCAGGGAGGCCCGGTGTGTGTGTGTGTGTGTGTGTGTGTGTTTTAAAGATTTATTTATTTATTATCTATACAAGCACTGGGTACAGTCAGAAGCACGGGAGGGTGAGAGAATTCACCAGAGCCAGAAAGGGGAGCAGAGCAGGCAGAAGAACCAAAGTACACTGCTGAGGGGAGCAGCAGGCGGCAGGAGAGGTCTGCGAGCCATGTGGGACCCTCCTCCTGTGGCCGGGAAGCAGCCGGGGATTGAACCGGCGCTGCAGAGGCTGCGGGCAGCTTCGCAACCCAGCGCTCAACCGCTGCGCCACCAGGGAGGCCCAGTGTGTGTGTTTTTTTAAATACATTTGGGGGCAATTAGTAATTAAAGCATTGTGTTCTGATTACTGTAAGGCAGTATTGTCCTGTCAGATAAGGCCTTTGCTGTCAGAGCAAAGGAGGGGATATACACATGGAGAGTGTGGCATTTACAGAGCCAGCACAAATGAACAAGTGTTAATCTGATTTCAGCCCACACAGGTGAATGGCGTTGGGAGGGAAAAGGAGCCAGTACAGAGCGCAGATGGACAGTGGAGTGAGAGGTGCAGTGATAAAGGAGAAGGAAAGGGGTGTTAAGGAGGGACTCCCTGAAAGGGAGCACACATGTAGGACCCCAGACCCTTGGAGGGGATGTTGGAACCACACTTGATGCCCTTATCCCGTATGAACGTTGTTGCAGTTCTTTGAGAACTAACATTCTTCTTACTGGACTGTAAGTTCCTTGAGAGCAGGACATTTTTCATGTAATGCACACACAGAAAATTTAGGAAATACGCTGGGGTAAATGGTCCAGATTGTGCCTCTGGAGACCAGTTGGCTGCTCCATTCCCTGCCTGGTCTGCTTTGGACTGAGTGGATTGATACCACCAGATGTGTAACCCAGCCCTGGGACACCACTTGGGAAGCTCTGACTATAGTACCTTGCTCAGAGTCATGTATAAAGTAAGTTCTCAGTAATGATGTGGCAGATGAATCCAAAAAGGAACTTGTGAGAGAGGAGGGTCAGTTGAAAAAAATGACAGAGGGTGTGAGTTCTTGGAGATAAATGAGATCTCAGATTCCTGCCTAATCACCTTTATTTATGGATACCCAGACAGAGGTCCTGAGAATAAATAAATGTCTTTAAGGTTCTGGTCTTAGGGATTAATGTTTTTTTAAATAAAATATTAAATACATTTTAAATCAGCATCATTCATGTGCCTTCTACCTTTCTGATAGTTGAAGATGATGAGGAGCTGGTATTGAGCTGAATTTTAGGTATTTTTCCAGTGTGAAAACTTGTATTAGAAACAGCCCTGATGAGTCAGGGGGCGACAGCTGACCTCCTGTCTTGCCCCAAATTCTCACATTCATCATTTGCTTGCTTTCTTCCTGGACGCGAACAACTATCTGGCAGACAATAGATCATACTTGGAGAGGGAATGGATTTCTCCGATGACTTTGACCTTTAATGCCTCATAGAAGAGTAGTTAACACACCATTTAATCCCACTGGAGTTCTCCAGCCCTGTGGTTATATAGTCGTGTAAGTGGTTTTAGAAGTGAAGCTGAGATTGGGTGAGATTGTGGGCCAAAACCCATTCATTTTCTAATGGACAGATTTATAGGAAGAATGGGTATAGCTTTTTCTTTCCACCAAAGACTAAATGAAAGGAAATGTTCTTCATTTAAAGCAATAGAAATGGATGCCAGGAGGCTGAGCAACAGGTCTGGGAGAGAATGACCTGGGGTGGTCAGTCTACCCCTTTCTGAAGCTATCTGAGAGTAGGCTAGGGGCGCTGCTCTTCTGCTGGACTGAGGGCGGTGCCCGTCTTGTACAGAGCTGGGGCCACTTGCATCCTTTTTATGTGTTTTGTTTCATGTATTTCTTCCACTGCCTGAAAACGGCAAAGCCTTATTCCATTTCATTTTCTCTAGTCAGATTCCGAGGAAGATGAACCCACAAAGAAGAAAACTGTCCTTCAGGTAAGCTTTGTAACAGAATAGAAACCTTTTCTTCTCTTTCCATCTTCCTGGAAGGTAGGATTTATGATGCCCAGCAGTTCAAATCAGGCTTAGAGCAGGTATTTGAGGACCAGCTGTGAGGTGTGGTTTAGTTTTCCATGATAACATTGGACTTTGTGCTTCTCTGCCCTCCCTCCTGTCGCGACCACAGTGCTGTGGCATTGCGTCTCCCACAGGACAGGTGGTGGTAGGGGGACGAATTGGAACTCAATTCCATTCATTACATTTCAGGTAAAAGGATTATTTAGGAAGGGTAGAATAAACAGATTGGTCAAAATGATGTTAGGGAACATCTATATTTGAAAATTACCCATCTCCCTGTCTTATTTTAAGTCAGGAAAATAAACACTAAATAGCACTTACTGTGTACCAGGCACCATTCAAAGTGCTTTCCCGATGTTAATTGATTTAATCCTTGTAATAGTGCCTAACTCGGTGTTTTATCATCCCTGTGTTACATACGAGCAGTCAAAGCTTAAGGAACTTGCCCAAGGTCAGGCAGCTAGTTCCTATCAAAATGACTGAGCCCATCCAGCGTTCCTATTACTCATAAGAATCTCAGATTCTGCTGCTTCTTTTTTTTTTTTTTTTTTTGTTTAAATATTTATTTATTTATACAAGCACTGGGCACAGTCAGAAGTGCGGGAGGGTGAGAGAATTCACCAGAGCCAGAGCGGGGAGCAGAGCAGGCAGAAGGACCGAAGTACACTGCTGAGGGGAGCAGCGGGCAGCAGGAGAGGTCTGCGCGCCATGCGGGACCCTCCTCCGGTGGCCGGGGAGCAGCCGGAGATGGAATCGGCGCTGCAGAGGCTGCGGGCAGCTTCGCAACCCAGCGCTCAACCGCTGCGCCACCGGGGAGGCCCAGATTCTGCTTTTTGAAAGCTAAAGGACCAGTTGGCCTAACTGCAGGGCTGTGGGAGGTGTCAGTTTGAAAAAGGAAAATGGAACAAAGTCACCATGTCACTGCCTGGAGTACCAGTGTATTTCAACCCTCCCAGCCAAGAAACACCCAGAATGGACAGGACTTTTGAGTCAGGGAGACGGGGGTTCAGACTCAGGAGATCTGACTGTTAAATGGAAGCTCTTACTTGCTGCATTGGCTGCTGCTCCATAATCTAGACCACAAGTCCTTAATCAGACAGTGCTGGAGATGATCTCTCTGCTATGTTCCCCCTTGTCCCAGTGCCTCCACTCTGGCTTCCAGGGGTTTCTTCCTGTTCCACTTCACATTTATTGATTTATATTTCCGACTTCATGACTCAGGACATTATATGTCTCAGGAAGAGTGAGAGTGGCTGGCCTTTAGAAGGTTGTGTCATGATTCCATTATATGATGCTGAAGCTTCCCCTTTCCCTGATGCTGTGAAGTTGTCACTTCCACCTCTGAGGCGGGGCGGGGAGCAGGTGTCTTGGAAGGACATAGCCATGTGGAAATTAGAAAGATAATTGGTGAGAATGTCCATATGTATAGTGCGTGGTGGAGGAGTTGCCATGGAAACTGGTGTGCTGACATGGAAGGAGGCCAGTCACTCTCCTCTTAGTGTACTAGCTTCTTGGAGAAGGTGGACTGGCAACTAAGGAGATGGGAGGAACACTGGCTCAGAAGGACCCCCAGGAGTGAAGAGCCGACTTCCAGATATTAGGAAGAGATGAGTGGATAGAGGAACTGTTAAGGCAGAGTGGGGATCCAGCACACAAGGACTATATCTGTGATTCCAGCTGTCACTTGAGATCTGAAAAGTCTGACACTTCAGGGTCAGCCTGAGTTTGGCACCTCAATTTGGTTCCTATGATCCTGAGCCCCTGGGGCCTGCCAAACTCTGGAGTGATTCAAATCTGTGAACATAGCAGGCCAAGGAAACCATTTTCTGCATGAACCATTCTCCTGCCTGGCCTGCTTTACTCAAGTCTTGTCCATTCTGGGTGTTTCTTGGCTGGGAGGGTTGAAATACACTGGTACTCCAGGCAGTGACATGGTGACCTTGTTCCATTTCACTTTTTCAAACTGGCACCTCCCACATCCTTGCAGTTAGGCCAACTGGTCCTTTAGCTTTCAGAAAGCAGAATCCGAGAGATTCTTATGAGTAATAGGAACACTGGATGGGCTCAGCCATTTTGATAAATGCTTAACTCTTGAATAAACACACTGGGTTTCCCACATCTGTAGGGCTTTCCTTGGGCAGGGGAAGGGTTGGGATGGAGCTAAGGATGGGATGGCATCTTACCTTGAGAAGAGCAGCCAGCAGAAGGAGGAATCCAGCCCAGGATGACCTGTGTTGATGGCGGTAAGAAGGAAACTAGGGCTGGTAAGATTTTCAGGACAGAGTACATATCTGTTATTCTAGTTTCTGATGTTGATAGTACGTATCATAACATCTCACTTGTCATCTTTCTTCACTCTTTCCCCAAACCTGGGCTCACCAGGGATCTGGTGAGGGAACTGGTTTGTCTGCCTTGCTTCCCCAACCTAAAAACCTGACTGTGAAAGAGACTAATAGGCTGCTCCTACCCCATGCCTTCTCCCGGAAACCGTCGGATGGCTCCTCTGACACAAAACCCACCAGACAGGCTTCTAAGACCAAGCCCTCTTCTCTTGCCCCTGTTGTGGGCACCACAACTACCACTCCATCGCCCTCTGCCATCAAGGCTGCTGCCAAGAGTGCTGCCCTGCAGGTGACGAAGCAGATCACGCAGGAAGAGGATGACAGTGATGAGGAAGTAGCCCCCGAGAACTTTTTCTCCCTCCCTGAGAAGGCTGAGCCACCTGGAGTTGAGCCATACCCTTACCCCATCCCCACTGTTCCTGAAGAGCTGCCGCCAGGCACAGAACCCGAGCCAGCCTTCCAGGATGATGCAGCCAATGCCCCCCTTGAATTCAAGATGGCAGCAGGCTCAAGTGGGGCCCCTTGGATGCCTAAGCCTGGGGAGGACTACAGCTACAATCAGTTTTCTACATATGGCGATGCCAATGCCGCTGGTGCTTATTATCAGGTGGGTAGGGGTCTGGAGGGCTGCCAAGGAGAGCTTTGAACCAATGAAATGGCCTCTGTGGTGTCACTTTGGCTGAATTAATAAATATTCTAGCATCTTGATTTTCTTCCACTTATCAGGCATCAGAACATAGTCCTATTATTCTGAACCATATTGATCTAAAATTGCCTGTCTCCTAGTGTGACAGACAGAACCAGGTAATTGACACCTGTATTCTGAAACAGAATCTTAGTGTAGAAGCTTCCAGGAGCTCTAGTGAGAGGTCTAGGTAGAAGGCAGAGGAAGGGTGATCTTGTTTTAGAGATCTGAGTTTGACTCCATAAATGCGACTGTGCGGATCAGAGAGCTGCGGCCTAGACGCCTCTGTAGCTGTGAGTCCAGTTCAGGTTTCTGGAGGTAGGGAGTGCTGAACACAGAGGGTGGCAGAGGTAGACCAAGGATGCAAGGGGAGAGTTGAATGCAGCAGGGTGCTAAGGACAATGAGAGAGACCTTGACTGTCACTAGAAGTTGAAAGGACTGAGGCAAGTCTCTGAAAGAGGTAATCTTAAGGGACACAGGTTGGACAGGGACAGGGAAGGGAATGGAGTCTAAGGGTTTTAGAGTTAGGGTTTTAGTTCCAAGCTGTGTGAGTCTGGCCAGATGACTTAACTGCCTCTCTGAGTCTCAGCTTCCTTGGCTGTAATGTTGGAATAGTAGTCGGGGGTAACTAGGAGAATCGTGTTAGCTTGGAACATAACAAGTGCTCAATAAATGGTTAGGATGCTTTTTATTCAGTGTTACTTGGAAGAGGTGTTTAGCTTTGGTTTATATGTGGCATCCAAGGAAGTCCTGGGAGTATGGGCTGCCAGGTTGTAAATAGGTTTAAGAAAGACTCCCGTCATTAGAGAGCTCCCCCAGGTGGGGAGGGCTCCCAGGGCTGGGAGTAGTGGTGGTGGTTGAACAGAGGCAGCTGGTTGCCCCAGGGCTGGGCAGCTGTAGGAAGTTTCCCTGGGGTGCTGAGGGGATTTAAGTCCCCTTCAACCTCTGTGAGTCTGACTGGACAGTGTTAATCTGGGCACTGGTGTTGGGTGGGTTTTGAGGGATCTCTGGTCTAACCCAAGACTTTGAAAACAATGGTGTTTCCTAAATACTGTTAAACCTTGTTTCCTGTAGGCTGATCACGGACAGTGCATCTCCCCTCATCAGTGTCAGAGGGATTAAAATAGTTGAGAGTGTTTTGACCTTTTTAGCAAAAACAAAACAAAACAAAAAAGCCTATTTGAGTCTTACTGTTTACATCTAACAAATTGGAATTTTGTTTGCATTTAGAACCACCATGGGGGCAGTGTATGCAAATTGAAGCACTTTAAATATGCTGGAGCCTGTGATTTACATGTATTTTATTGTGGATATCTTTATAGAAAATTCATGCTCTAACACACTGGATTTTTAGATACTTTTATTTAGTGAATGTGAAACCTTATTTTCCATTTAGCTAGCTATAAAATGAATGCTCTTGAGGGCATTTGTTGAAGTTTTGGGCAAAGGTGGAAGAGTTGGGAGAAGGTGTAGGCAGTGAGGAAACAGTCTCAGCCTTGGCCCAGCAGGGACCTTGCCCTTGTCTTCAGCCCACTTCTCACGCCTAAGGGGAATCATCAGATCCCTGCAGTAAACACCTGGTAACATGAATTTAGTTCCTCCCCAGCGTGTAAGGTCTCTAGCATCCTTATTGCGGCTTATCTCACTTCAGGAGACCTGTGACCACCCTCCCCTCCCGTCATCACAGGCAGTCTCTCTGTCCAGAGGCCTGAGACAGGATGAGCAGGAATGGCGAGCCCCTCACACCTTCCCACCCCTCGCCCCCAGAGTATATGAAGTCTTAAGAGCAGGAGGGCTGGGCTGAGGGTGCCGTGGGGATAAGGAGCTGGAAATCACTCTTGGGAAGCAGCCCAGGGAGCAGGTACAAATTTAAGCAGGAGAGAATGTCATTCTTCCCTAAAAACTGCTTATTAATCTGGACAGTACAGACTAGAAAATGAAAATGTTTAGAGATCGTTCCTGAGTTCTGACTAGGTCCCTCAGATTTGTGCCTGTAGCTGGTCCATCAAGGTGTGGGTGTCACCACTGCCTCTGATTATTTTCTCTTTCCCTGGGCAGACCTTGTTCCCTCTCATCTGTGCACCTCATTGGTCTGTTTTTTCCTTCTTGGCTGCAGGACTATTACAGTGGTGGCTACTACCCCACACAGGACCCAGCCGTGGCCCCCCCACAGGAAATTGCCCCAGATGCCTCCTTCATCGATGACGAAGCAGTAAGTTCACAATGCACCAGCGACCATTGTTGACCTGTACACCAGGTTTCAAATCTGAAGCTAGAGGGCATTTTTTTTTAATAAAATTTTATCATTTAGGATTAGGCTTGACACCCTTTGACATAGAAACTCCAAATAATTATGGCATATGGAGGTGAAGTTAGTTTTTGTCCTCATAAAATAAGGCTGGAGGTGGGCAGGCCAGGGTGGTGTGACAGCTCCCTGAAGTTGTCAGGGGTCCTCTCCGGGTCCTTACTGTGCCACCCCAAGTTTGTAGCCTTTATTCTTATGATCAGTGATAGCAGCTAAGGCTCCAGCAATCCCACCTGCCTTTCCATCTGTAGCAGCGGGGAGAATGAGGGGGCACCTTTCCTCTCTTTAAGAAGACTTCTTGCAAGTGCCTAAGGATCCCTTCTGCTTCTATCTCTTTAACTAGAATCTGGTACAGGAGCCTAGAAAAGGAGTGTCCTGGCCCAAATGGCAGATGCCTAGTCAAAATGTTGGGTTCATTCACACAAAAGGAGAGGGGCAGGGGCAGGTAGATTCACAGAGGAACCAGCAGCCACACTGAAGACCCTTATGTTTCACATCACTGTATTCCCTGCTGCTGAGCTCCCAACCTCAGCTCAGGGGGTATGGAACCTTATGTCCTGCAGCTACCATCTTTCAGGATATAAAGTATTGTTCCATCTGTAGGGAGGTCACAGCCTATTAGGAGGGGGTTGGAGAAATAGGAGTGCTACCTCTTTGCATGAAGATTCTTGTAAAAAATAATTCTTCTCTACTCACTTTTTCACAGAAAGACTCCGTCCCTCTGTGCTCTTCTGCCTGTGGTTAATTTTGTGTCCAACCACTCCACTCTCCCTGTCCTCTTGACAAGTCTGTTAGTTAGACCCTTTTAGTCCTCTGGGAGGCAGAAGGAGCTCACCCAGGTGCAAAAATCAGTTTCTTGTAGACAGTGTGAGCCTTGGAGGCCTCCATAATGTGCAGATCAGGACCTGGGTCCTCCGAAGTTCTCAGTGGTTGTTAATTGGATTCCTCTACACCCATACTCCCAGGCACATCTCCTGGCGGCTTGTGTGATCTGCATCTTTTGTAAGGAGGAGGGGAGAGGCTATCGTTCTAGAAAATTTGCCAGACCTTTCTTTGTGAGGCTCCCTCTCTGCCATCTGCTCTGGTGTGGGGTCTGCTGATTGGGTGATACTGTACCAAGGAGGAACAGAAATGTAAGAAACAGATATTTAGAGGTGTCTCAGATTTTTTTGTCCTGAATTCTTAATTTGAATATTGTATGTAGTCCTATAGGCAGCTACATTTATTTATTTGAGTACATATGCATGCATACAGTGATTCTCTAGACTCACTCATGTTTGGGAATGCTTCTTGGCTTCCCTCCCCTGGTCCAAGAGAACTGGACCAACCGCCTCCAAGGCGGGTTGGTTGGTGGTTGGCAGGGTGAAGACACACACTGCATGGGGGGGTGGGCAGTGGGATTGAGAGTCACAAAACCATTCCCTGTTCCCTGGATCCTAGCAGCATCTGACACCTACCAGATCCCTCACTTCTATTTTTTCTTTTCCAGTTTAAGCGATTGCAGGGCAAGAGGAACCGAGGGCGGGAGGAGATCAACTTTGTGGAGATCAAAGGTGATGACCAGCTCAGCGGGGCCCAGCAATGGATGACCAAGTCATTAACAGAAGAGAAAACCATGAAGTCATTCAGCAAAGTAAGCGGAAAAGTGCCTTCTTGGCTGGCCCCAAGGCAGAACTGCTCCCTCTTCCCATCCCACCCCCACTCACTGTTATGGACACACACCTTTAGCAGATGCCTGTTGCCCCTGGTGCCATGAATGCACCAGGTTTACAGTTACAGCTCCTACCTTCCAGAATTTTGCAGGACTGTGCTTCCATCTGCATGGTAGAGTTGGTTGCTGAGACTGAACAGTTGGAGCAGTTTTCTGCCCAGCAGTTGGGAAGATCTCTCTGATAGGTGGTGACTCCTTGCCTGGCTACATAGAATCCAAAGCGGCTCTACTCTCTCCCTACAGTCATCTGGTCTTTCCCATTGAGCTGGGAGCTGGCCCAGCACATCCGTGAGGTGTGGGCCCAAGAGAGCCTCAAAAATCCTGGGGTCCCTAGGTTCTGGATATGCAGCCCTCTCCTTTTTCTCCTTTATTGTAGCCAGTTGTGGTCTTTTCAAATGCTTTATGCCTTATGCCTCACATGCCCACACCACCTCCTACCTTCTTTGTGCTGGTTTTCTTCAGTCAGTGTGATGAACAGCTCTTCACCTAGTAGCTGAGTACAGCAAATGTGGACATTTATAAACCTGCCACAGGGGCAAAATGTGGGGAAGCCCTGGATTCGAGCCCAGCATCAGCAAGGCCAAGGTTGGGCATTTTATTCCCTTCTCCTCCCCACCATTTTCTCTGTTTTGTTCTGTGGCCACAGATGGCCAGCTGAGCTCCAGCCGTTTGTTTTAACTGAATGCTGGCGGCCATACAGAACAGAGCACAGGATTGTGGTTAGATCAGCATAGATTCATCACTGTTTACTGGAAAAACCACTTAGGAGAGCATGCTCCACCAACTGTGGTTCGGAGGCATCATCACATAGTAATAGCTACTGTTGTCGGTGCTCACATGGCCGGGAATGGAGCTGGGTGCTTTATGTTTGCATCTTTAACTTAAATGACATTAATGACATTAATGACACTTAAATGACATTAATAGCAGCAAGGAATTGGAGTTTTCTGTCTTCCCAGTTCCAACTTTTCTTTGCATTATTTCATTGTATGGAACTAGATTATTTAGAAAAGAAGAGAAAGACACAGTTCCTGACCCTGAGGAGTTCAGTGTAGCTGTGAAAAAGAACTCGAAGGACATTTGAATGTAAATGATTATGGTGCAAATTGATTGCATAAGTGCTGAGGAGATTCTAGAGAGGAGTTTTGGGAGTTGGGTGGGGCTGATGAGGGAGCTTCTAGTTTGAAATGACACTGGCAGAGTACAGAAAACTGCAGAATGAAAGCTCAGACCAATATAGACTTTGACAGTAAATCATTTGCATCAAAATTTGGTTAGGGGATTGGTACAGTGCAGTTACTGGCCGAGGCTGAAGATTGGCAAGATGGAGTGAAAATTGTAATTCCAGGGAAGCTGTTGACACTTTCTAGAATGAGGGAGGAGGTGGGGTTTCAGCTGAAGGTGATTGATGGGAGATGGTTTGGTGAACAGCAGGGAGGAGACAGCCTGGACATCTGGCCTTACTAGGGACAGGGGGACAGGGATGAAGAGGGCTTAAGGGGAAGATCAGCAGCGGGATTGTGGGAGGGTCTGGAGGGAAGATAACCTGTGCCAGGGCACTTAAGCTGTGTCAGGCAATGGAAGTGGTATCAAGTGTCCGCTGTGGGCGGATCCCTGTGCTGGGGTGGGGTGGGATTACCAAAGAAATAGAAGACATTCCTGACCTCAAAGTATTTCCAGTCTAATGGGGATATTAGCTGGCTATTTCAGGCCAGTCTGAGCTTGGCTTTTTCACATAATGGCTTTAATAAAAATAACTTTTATGCATATGCAGTAGTCTCCCCTTATCCGAGGTTTCTGAACTTTGTTACCCATAGTCAGCCACTGTCTGAAGTATTATAGAGGCCAGATGAATATAACTTTTACTGTGTTTATTATATTTTATTATTAATTACTATTGCTCATTCTTGCAGTTCCTGGTCCGTAAATGAAACTGTTGTAGGTAGGTATGTTTAGGAAAGAACATAGTATATGTAGGGTTTGGAACTAACTGCCATTTCAGCATCCACTTGGGGTCCTGGGGCATATCCCCTGCAGATCAGGAGGGACTGCTATGTAGACATTACAACAGCCCAGGCTTGCTTTTCTCCCCCAGGATTTGGGCTATTGATTTCTCAATTCCTAACCTTGCAGCATATAGGCGCACAAGAAACTGGCTTTACTCCTGGGGGTTAATTGTGTTTTTTTCCCCTTACAGAAGAAAGGTGAACAGCCAACAGGCCAGCAGCGGCGCAAACACCAGATCACATATCTGATCCATCAGGTGAGAGAGCTGGAGGGCCCTGGCCTGCCAGGCAGGATCCCTGGGGATGTGAAGGCTGAGACAGGGCAGAAGCCCAGGAGGCAGGCACCAGCTTCCTGCAGGTCTCCTCCTGGGTTCTCCATATGACCACTAGGGGGAGCTGTGCTCTTTAGATAAGACTCAAGTACAGGTGCTTAGAATAAACACTACGTGAAAATTCTGATATGCAAAACAGAAATGTAAGAGAGGAGAGTGAAATGCCTTCTCATGTAGGTTTTTCAAATAATTTATTATTAATAATAAAGAATAATTCATATTAATAAAATAATAACTTGTTAGTAATTCAAAAAAGTAAAGAAAAAAATTAGTTCACCAACTTCTAACAAACATCCATGGCCTCCCTGGTGGCTCAAGGGGTTAAGACACAGTCTGTGAAGCTATCTGCAGTCACTGCAGCACAAGTTCGATCCCTGGCCAGGGAGCTGCCCACATGGTGTAGCAGAACTCTCCTGTCTCGCCCATTGCTCCCCTCAGCAGTGTACTTCAGTACATCTACATGTTCTGTTCCCCACTCTGTCTCTGGTGAATCCTCTCACCCCCCACACCTCTGGCCGGTACCCCAGTTCTTGTATGCATAAATAAATAAATCTTTAAAAAAAACAAAAAACATCCACCTGATGAGGAGGTTGGTCTTGTAACCTCTACTTTCGTGGGGACACAACTAATTCAAAATGACAGATAATCCAAAAATGTCTTTTGGAATTAGAATATAGCTTGGTATTTATTCGATAGGACCTGGCAGCTTTCAAATACTCATTTAATCACTAAACCAATGTCATTTTGAGGGCTGCTGCACTGCATGTGGTTAGAGGTAGACAGGAATAGTCAGTCGTTCCTGGCTCTTTCTTTCCCTGGGGGTGCTCATGCTTGGTGGTGACTTCAGTGGCAAATCTGGCTTCTGTTGTTCGTGTCATAGTTCACCATCCTTTTCAGGAACTCTTTTGTACCCTGACCCTATGTATTTTGATATGTAGGGAAAGAATGAAAGGGTAGGGTCTTTATTAAAACCCAAATTCTTTTTTTTTTTTTTTAAATAATAAATTTTATTTTTATATTCCCCATACAATTGCAGCCCCCCCATTCTGACCCCAATCCCTCCCCTCCCGCCCCCGCCCCCTAAAAGTGTCTCTGGTTCATAGTTTTTTGTTGATTTTGATTTTCACTTTCTTATAGTTATTCATTTTCCCGGTCCCTTATTTAAGTTTTCTAGATTCCTGCTATGAGTGAGACCATCCGGTATTTTTCTTTTTCTTTTTGGCTTATTTCGCTGAGCATGATCCCTTCCAGCGCCATCCATGTTGCTGCAAATTGCATGTGTTTATCTTTTTTGAATGCTGAGTAATATTCCATGGTGTATATGTACCACATCTTCTTGATCCAGTCATCTATTTTTGGGCATTTGGGTTGTTTCCAAAGCTTAGCTATTGTAAACAGTGCTGCTATAAACATGGGCGTGCAGGTGTTCTTTGGAATTGATGTTTCTGTGTCCTTTGGGTAAATACCTAGGAGTGGAATTGCTGGATCATATGGAAGCTCTATGTTTAGTAGGTCCAGAAATCTCCACACAGCTCTCCATAGTGTTTGGACCAGTTTGCACTCCCACCAACAGTGCAGGAGAGTTCCTTTTTCTCCACAACCTCTCCAACATTTGTTGTTGCTAGTTTTTTTAATATGTGCCATTCTCACTGGTGTAAGATGGTATTTCATGGTAGTTTTGATTTGCATTTCCCTGATGACAAGTGATGTTGAACATTTTTTCATATGCCTGTTGGCCATTTGCATTTCCTCTTCAGAGAAGTTTCTTTTTAGCTCTTCTGCCCATTTTTTGACTGGGTTATTTTCTTTGTTGTTGCTGAGTCTCATCAGCTCTTTGCAGATTTTTGTGATCAGTCCTTTATCATTAGTGTTGGGTGCAAAAATGTTCTCCCAGTTGGTGGGGTTTCTCTTTGTTTTTGTTATTGTCTCTTTTGCTGTGCAGAAGCTCTTTAATTTGATGTAGTCCCAGCTGTTTATCTTTGCCTTCACTATCACTGCTTTGAAAACCCAAATTCTTAGTCCCCTCCCCTTATTCCCTGGAAATTGAGGAAGCATCAGCAGCTGGTGTGTGGGGATGGGGTGGAGGAGCACCTTTTCTAGGGTGGTGCTTGCATATTGTCAGAATGCAGCCTGGAGCCAGGAGCTGCAGACTTCAAAGGGAGAGGTCATTATTCTGGGATCTTCCAGTCAGCTTTTCACAGCTTCAACTTGTACTTGAAAGTGGTGTGAATTTCTAGGAACCACACCATACAGTGTATTCAACACAACAACAAAACTGCGTCACACACCAAGGTGACCTGCTTCCACCCGTCCAGCACTCTGAGACCGCCACTCCTACTGGCCAGGAGTCTGAGGCAGCTGAATGTCTTCCTTTCAAACGCCAACTTTGAGTTCTCATTTTTCCCATTTCCCAGTTTTCTAGCAGAGGAAGGACCAGGATTCTTGAGTCTTTATTCTGCTTAAACTCTGTAGCTCCTTAAAGATGATTTTTCTTTGTTTTGCCAGCGTCTTCCATAACTGTTAGGACGAGACCGATTTTAAGTTGGGAAGCTACACAGGCAAGGGGAAATTGGTTCTCACCCCCGTTTGACTTGCTGCTGCTCCCTTTTCCTGCCGCAGGCTAAGGAGCGGGAGCTGGAACTGAAGAACACCTGGTCAGAGAACAAGCTCAGCCGCCGGCAGACCCAAGCCAAGTATGGATTCTAGGCTCTGGAACTGAGTGCGCCCAGGATCTCCTGCAGCCTGGCTGTCCTGACCCCCAGCGTCATTGCTGGGACCCCAGCTGCTCCAAGACCAGGAGGTCTTTTCCCTGAGGACCCAACCCTCGCCTCTGCGAGAATGAACATATTTGATAGATTTTTCTTAACAAATATTAGAAAATTCAGCTTCTTTCTGTCTTGGAGCTGGCAAAGACTGGAGTGATGCCTCAGAAGGGGCTCAGAGTTCTTGGATGGGAGTTCTGCTCCCTGTTGGGGTGATAAGATATTGAACCCTTGTCTTTTTTTTTTTTTTTTTTAAACCAGGGATGTCTGTTGAAATAAAACATTCAGTCTGACAGACTCTGCCTCTCCTGCTCCCCCTTTCCTACTTTTTAGCGTTGTCTGCTTTGTTCATTCTGGACCCTTCTCATTCATTATCCTGTCCCAGGATATGTTTCTACCTTGTGTAAGGCCCCCTCCAAACCATTGTGAGCTGCCTCAGTGATCACATTGCTATTTTTCTGTCTTATCCACCACCTACCCTGGGTTCCTGGCCATCGAAGAACCTCAGAATTGTATGGGAATGAGGCCTGTGAGCCCAAATATGGAAAGTAGTGCTGCTCTCAGGTGTCTTAAGACTAGTGGGTGTCAAGGTTATTTCTGTGATATCAGAGTTATTAGATCTAAAATTCTGCCAAGCAGGAGGTAAAGTGGTGAAATGTCCCTGAAGTGGATTCAAATTTATATTGTAGTCATTGACCTGGACTGGTTTGACATAGAGCCTAAGGGCTGGACAGATCTTTTTGGAGACTTCTGGACCCCTATCTTTTTTGCTTAGGAATAGGTGGGTGGTTGGGGAGGGAACAGGCAGGGACTATGGACTTCAGTTAGCTGTAGGGCACTGCGATGCCACAAATGACAAGATAGATGGCAGGATTCCTCCCTCACAGAGGGTTCACGTAGGGATGGAAGATAGCCTGCTTGGGTCACGAGAGCGTGCAAGGCCTCCTGCAACCACTACTGAACTATGTTGTTGGGAGGGTGCTGGTGCTCCGGGAGGATGCAACTGCAGCTGCTTCCTCAGGAGGGGAGTGTTGAAACTCCAAGAAAAGCCTTGGGTGCCAGACTGGGGGGCCCTGACTGATAGACGTCCGTCCGTCCGTCCGTCCGTCCGACTACAGGGAGCCACTGGGAGGAGCTGCTGTTTGATGTTGACAGGAAAGTCAAGCGCAGAGGGCAAGAGTGAAGAGGTGTGTGGTGGGGACTCAGACGACAGGGAAGAGGCAGAAATGAGGAATCACCGTGCTGCCGGTTTTGTGTGCTGGGTGAGTTGAAGAGTCTGTTTCTCATTAAGTACAGAGGAGGGTTTCATCACTTACAGGAAAACCACCCGCTTATCTGAAATCTGACCTACTTCGGTTGGAGCCAGACAGGGTTCCTGCATCCCACAGGGACGCCAGGCTGCACTGTCCAAATTGGAGCATCCAGCCAGCCTTCAGCTGGGAGCATCAGCCTCCCTCACCACCTCCACCCTCCATGGAGGTCCAGGGGGTCAGGGCTGAGTTGGCCCCTTTCAAGGGTCTTATGTGGTTAGGTCAGCTCAGGGGGACCCCCCCAAAATTAGACCCCAAGTCGAGTGCTTGCTCTCCTGTATCCAGCATGTGACAGATGCGGCCCTGCCTTCTGGGCTGTCGCCATGCTCCTGGAATTCAACGCTTGAGTGTTCTTGTTTCAGGGGCTGTGTCATGAGCTAGAAGTGCCCTTGGTTGGGAGGCAGGACATGGGCAGGGTGAGGCCTAGTGTCACCTGGGAACAGATGGAGTTAGGCCAGATATCTTAGGTATCTCTTCCTTCCCCACTCCTTTAATTCCTGCAAGTATTCCTAGCCACTTTTTTTTAAGTCATCTATTAGTCCTATGAAAGATGACATTTCATTTGGTTTTTGGAATTTCCTGGACACCAGGAGAGAGAATGACAGTTAGAATTGGACAGACTATTTGGGAGGGCTTCCTGGAGGCAGTAATCTCAAGTCCTGGTAGAAAAGACAAACGGGAATGAGGAAGAGGGGAGGAGGAATAAGGAATGTCACTTGGCTAAAATTGCCATGGCGTAATGCCAAGGGGTGGACTGAGGAAGGGGCAAAGGCCTTGTCAGAGTTACCCCAAATAGCCCCAGATGTTGGAGGGGTGGGGATGAAGCTGGGTGTGTGGCATTGCAGTGACCAGGACAGTGGAGCCGAGGGCTGAGGTCCTCCAGGATCAGTTAGAAACTGATCCAACATGCCAGTGCTGTCACAGGCAGGGGGCAGTGTTCAGTTCCTGCCCCAGAGCCTCCAGCCCTGAGGAGGGGCTGGCCAGGTCTTTACCCCAGCTGGGGAGCTGAGCCTGCTGTCCCAGAAGACACCCCTATTGAGGGAATGGCTGAAGTACTGTGGGGCCGAGAGAAATGACTGGAGGCTGGGATGCCCTGTGGTGCCCACTCCTATCTCCTTTACTCCTCCCTCTGCTCAGCTTGCTTTCAGGTGGGGACTGTTGTTCTGAGCTAGTAGAGGCGGTCGAAGGTGGGGCGTTTGCAGTGACTGGCCTCAGTCCTCCCTGAACCAGTGCATGATGTGCTATGGGACTGGACGGCTGAGGTAATGGAATTGTCTGGGCTGACATCCCTGAACCGGGGTCCCAAGGCCCTTTACTGCTGCGTTTGCCCAAGGAGAAGACAGGACAAAGGGCAGCTTAGGGGAGCAGGAATGCAATTCAGAGGCAGCAGAGTGCTGAAGGACAGCACAAAGGGAAAAATGGGGCCTGCCCCTCAGCAAGGCCCTCTGCAGGTGCTGCCCAGGTGGGGGATGAGACTGGCTTGGATCTCAGAGTAGGTGGGGAAGACTGGGAAATGCCCTGTCCTACCCTGACTGGTCATGGTCTTTGGCTGGTGCTGCACACTTGACCCAGCTTCTTCACCCCTGGGTTAGCGAGGAGGCTCCACCCCTGGCTTCATGGCTGGGCCTACAGTAGAGTCCTAGGGAGCATGGGGGCTTGGGCATAGTGGGCCCTGGATTAGGATGACGAGCTGCATTCAGCTCCTTGTTATCTATCACCCCCTCGAGGCGACAGTTTCCTGTTTGAGCCAAAAATTCAGTCGGGAGGATGAAGTGCCTTCTCACCCCAGCAGTCCTGTCTGCCAAGCCCTTCCATGGCCTAAGGAGGCGTTATCTCCATTTCCAAGGAATGTGGGGAACCATGGAGCAGAAAAAAGGTTTCACTGTGGAAAGCTACAATCGCTAGTTCACAGCACGGGAGGTACGCAGGGCTCTTGATTCGGGTCACTGGGGGCTGCTTTGACCACCTCCAGCTGCGTGGTGCCCAAGGGAAGAAGTCACTGGTCGCTCTGCCCCTCTCTAGGCAACTTTGCTCCTTCAGAAATGTCACCCAAGAGGGTGGCACTGCCACCCTCTCGGCTGGCATTGGCCCATCCTATTATGTTCAAGGTCTCAGGCAATCCTCTCAATTTCCTGAGCCTGCTTTCCAGTGTTTACTGTACAGTAAGCCTCCCCTTTCTTTGCCTCCCGCCTCCCACAATGAGTCAGCCATGAGGTGACTCCTCAGGTCTAATCTGAGATCTTTCTTGCACTTTCAGTCTCCTCCCTGATTTCGACAAAACCAACTGCTCCCCTCCACACCCTGCTGTCTCCCTCCCCATCTCAAGCCGGCTCAGCAGAGTTTACATTTACAGACAGGAGGAAGTGGAACCCCAACTTTGTTGACTCAGCAACCATATTTCTCCATAAGTTGATTAGCACCAGAGTGGAAAGGTGGGGGGGGGGGCACACACGAGCGACTGGTGCTGGTGCTCTGGGCTGTGGGTGCTGTAGTGGCAGCACCTGGTCCAGAGGACATGGCTTCAGGGAGCCTCTGGGGGATTTCTGTACCTCAGGCAGGTGCAGGACTGCACGGTACGAAGAGGGACCCAGATGGGCACCGGTCATCTGGACTAAACTTGGTGAAATGAGTGTCAGAGCAGGCTGCACAGGTGGGACCACCACTCTGCTGGCCTGAGTGGTTTTGGGGCACCGTGTTGGCTTCAAGCCCTTCAGGTTGCCCAGGAGCAGACAGCCCAGCTCTAGGGAGCCCCCAGTCTGAGAAAAATGAGACCCAAGGCAGAGTCTTCCAGGTGGCTGAAGCTGGGAAAGTGAAGCTTTTTACTGGGGCTGGAGAAGGGTCTAGGCAGAGGAGAGAAAACCTCACCAGAGGGGAAGGAATGACTGAGAAAAAGGCCTAAGCCCAAGTCCAATGCCGCTGGACTAGGCCTAAGCCCTAGTCCAAGACTAGGAAGACACATGAGAGCCTTGGAACCATTGCTGGGGGTGGGGTGTGGGGGCTGGGCTAACAACATACCACTGGTCCACAGTCCTATGCTTGGTGGGTCAGGGAAGGAGGTGCAAGGCTACCCCTCAACCACTCCCTCTCCCCTCCTTCTCTCTTGGCATCGTCCAGGTTATACAGTCATCCTCTGCTCCTAGCTACCTGCCCAGCCCAGCCCAGCCCAGCTAGGGAAGAAATACTTTGCAGAGAGAGGTCTGGGTGTCTTTCAACCCTCAGACCCTTCTACCCCCACTGCAATGGTAGTTCAACCACTTGCCTTCCACAACATGAGAAAGAGAGTCAGAGACAGAAACAGAAGGAGTCTGGAGGACTTGGATCCCTGTGGGGGGAGGTGATTGGCGATGATTTATTAGCCAGACAAGAATCAACAAACAAGTTCTAACATCTGTTCTCGCCAAACCATTCCTCAGACAACAGCAGCATTGGACCAGGGCCCAGACTCAAAAGCTCAGAGGGCCAAGGAAATTAGACTTCAGGAGGAGAAACCTGGGCAGAAGGAAGCAACAAGGCCCTCGTAGCCCACTTCCTTAGAGGATCACCAATAACTGAGCCATTAGAATTTGGAGACTCTTTGGAAGGATCCAGTGGTATGTCCCTAAGAGGATTGTGTAAGAACTTCAGCTTTCTTTGTGGGGACCCAGATCTGTTGGAGGAGCTTAGCTGGGATGCACAGGTGGGGAATCAGTACCCTCGTAGTGGTGGAACTCTGGATTTCCTCCTGAGGAAATCTCTGATATTTCCTGTGGAGAAGAGTTAGGGATGTGGGGGGAGGAACAGAGCCCTGAATGGGGGAACTAGGAAGCCTGGCTTTTAGTCCTTGACCTTGGCCAAATTACTATCCTTCTCTGGCTTTGTTTCCTTATCTTCACAGCGAGGGAGTTGGACTTGATCTGTGAGGGCAAATGAAATGCCGCTCCTCCTCCTTTCCTCCCTCACCCCCAGCAGACATCACTAATCAATCATGGTGCTCCTTTCTGCTGAGTTCAGATATGACCTTAACATTCTTTCAGTGCAGCGCTCTAGGCAGCCACGAGCAATGGATTGGAGTTGGCATGCAAGGTGACACCTTTTTGCCATCTTCACAATAGATGAAGGCTGAGGTCCTTTCCAGCTTTGATCACCTATGGTTTGTTCCATCCACATTTCCTGAGAAGGGCATCGGGTGTATGTGAAGGTTTCTGGACCTGATGTTCCAAGTCCTCCCCAGCTCTGACTCACCAGCTACTGAGGAGGTCCCAGGTGGAGCCATGCCTGACCTTTGAAGCACCAGTTTAGAAAGGTTGTGGGGCAGGGTGTGCCCACAGCGGGGCACAAGGGGAGGGCCTTGTCCAGCCACAGAGTTCTCAGAACGCAGTTTCTGTTCACCTGGATTCTGTAGAGAGAAGGACAGTCCTAGGTCACACCCCCTATCCTCTGCTTCTTAGGTCTGCCTGCAGCTTCAAGGGCTAAGACATCCGGTTTTAATAGACACTGGTCTGCAGAGAGGAGCTCATTCATTCATTCATTCATTCAACAAACACAGTACCTACTCTGTGCCAGGCACTGTACTGGGTGGAAACAGATGAACAAATCCCAGCCCCTGCCCTCAGGGATATCACACTGCGCTGGGGCTAGGGGGAGACAGGTGTCCCAGGGATTCAGTGGGCTGACAGGAGTGTACAAAGCACAGTGGATGACCTCTGTGGTCAGGGCAGGGAAGTTCTTCCAGAGAAGTCAAATTGGTTTTTTCCAATGATTAGACGATGCCTGCTGCTAGGCAGTGAGAGGGTGAATTTTCAGGAAGTGGCAATAGGCAGAGGGATGGGCATGTGCAAACCCTAGGAGGCTCAAAACCACTTGATGTGTTTGGAGAAATGTGACTAGTTCTGGGAGGATGGGAGCAGCCACTATCTTCTTCCCCAAGTATGGAGGGTCTCAGGGGCCAGGCAGCCATTTTAGAAAGATCATTCTGGTTTCCTTAGAGCAGAGTGGATCAGAAATAGCAAGATTGGTGGTTAGGAAACCAGTTAAGAAGCTCTTGGAAGAGTCCTGTGAGAAATGATGGGGGCTGAAACTGGGGAAAGGAAAAAATATATTTAGGAAGAGACCCAGCAGAAATTAGTGGCTTATGGAAGAGTGGGGGTGAAGAGGGGGGAATTGTTGAGGGGGCCCTAGGATGGGGCCCTTGGGTGCTTGGGGACTTATCACTCCATATAGGGAACAAGGGAGGAAGCAGTTTGGGGGGAAGAGTGAGAGCAAGGACTGGGGGGTGGGGGGGTAGCATTAACAAGGAGAGGCATCTGGGAGGCAGAGTCAGAAGGGGGGGAAGTGCCTAACACTTCTCACGACATAAGATACAGACTGGAACAGACCTGAGAGGACTGCAGAAGCAGGATTGGGGTGGGGGGGATAGGGGGAGGGCCTGGAGGAAGAGGATTGCAGGGACCTTCTCCCTGGAGCTCACAGAGGTGACGCAAGGAACTCTAAGTGCTCTACTTGCAGATGGCAGGCCCTCTGAAGGCCATGGGAAGGAGCCAGAGTGGGGCAGTCCAAGTTCAGACTGTGGAGAAGAGGGCAGGTGGCGCCATAATGAGGCACAGGGTGAGGTCCCTTTGGGAAGACTCTGAAGAGGACAAGATGGACACAGATCAAAGTACAGGCTGGGGTAGGGGAAAGCTGTAGGGGCCCCTCCTGCCTGGGGCCTCTATTTTCTCTGTGAAAATAGGAGGGGTGCTCTGTGTAGAGGGAGTGGGGACTCGACAAAAGGGAGGCAGGGGAGTCAGGCTGGGGAGCCAAGAGGGAGCCTTCTGGGCCCCACCCCTTTGTCCTTCCCATGGCAGCTCAACCTTTGACCTTCACCCTGACTCTGGTGTCCACTGAGTACCTTCTCCACCCTCCCGAATCTGGCTTCCAGGAATTCTTCTTGTGGTAGAACTTTGCCCTGGAACCCCACTTACCTGGCTTCCTGGGGCAAGCCTGGAGCGGCACTTCCGCACGGCCCCGCGCCATGGCGGGCCCTCGGTCCCTGAGAGCCCCTCCACCTCCGCGTAGATGTTGCTAGGGGCCTCCCCGGGGCTGCCCCGGCCCATGGCATAGAAAGCAATGGGTTCATCAGGCTCGTTGTAGATGGGGTTGGAGGGTTTGGGGGGCGGCGTCGGACGAGGTTTCGGAGGAACCCGACCAGGCCTGGGAGCAGGACTTGTGTAGACTTCCGGGGGCAGCTGAGGCTTGGCGGGAAGGGGAGGCTTGGGTCTGGGCGGCTGCGAGGGCTAGGAGAGAAGGCAAGGCCGGGAGGAGGGCGGTCAGAGAAACTGAGGAAGGGGCGCTTGAACCCGAGCCCGAGCTCCGCCCCGCTGCCCCGCCCTCCCCGTAGGCCCCGCCCTCCCGCGCCCCCTCAGGCCCGCCCCTCCCCGCGGGTCTCTGTTTCGCGGCCGCTCCCCCTCCCTTAGGCGCTGCCTTCTCTCCCAGCCCCTCCAGCTCTATACCTCTTTGGGCTCACTGGTCTCCTCTTTCTGCGTGGGGGCTGCGGGCTGCTCCTTTTTGAGGACTGAACTATATTGGGGGTGTGGTTCCTGGTTTTTGCTTCTAGAGTGTGGTTCTTCACTTTTTAGGGGAAGTCCCGCGGGCTGTGGAGTCTGCTGGGAGAGAAGGAAGGTGGGAGGACTTAGATCCGGAGGGATGAGAGGTTGGGGGTGGGGACAGGTGATCCAGGAGGACAAAATTATCTGGCCAATGTGGGAGGAGGGACACAGAAACTTGGCCAGGAAGAGAGGATGGAGATGGCAAAGGGACCAGGGGTTGGGGGAGTAGCTCTAGTCAGGGGCCATATCTAGCATTAAATTTAGTGTCAACTGGAAGAGAGGGCAGGGTCAGTTTCCATTTGTGTCTGGTTGTAAAAATCCAATGAATTGTGTTAGCCTAGAAATTTGGGGTGATAGATCTCCCAGACAACCAGGTCTGCATTTATTTCTGTAGGTGCCAGAGGAGTAATTTATGGAGATATTTTAGGGGTAGACAGTCTGCACGGGAGAGATGCACTGCATAGTGGTCCCGTGCCTTCCCACAGCAGGTGTGACTTAGCTCAGCATTTAGCCCTAGCTTCATTAATGCTCTGCATGCCGATGCTTCCTGTGGCTTAGGCCGCAGGGCTTTTCTTACTCTTCTGCAATCCACTGAGTGCAGGCCTCCATCTGGAGGTACTTAAGCCTGCTGGCTCCATGGATCTAAATCAGAATCCTTTTCCCCTTCCCCAAGTGCTCCTTGCTCAGACTCTTCTTTGTGAGTTGCACCTCCATAGTATTGCCAAAACACCTTGACATCTCACTCGCTCCACACATGGAGTGGAGCACAAGCCCTATCCCTTCCATTCCCTAGATATCTTTACATCCTCACACTTTTCTCCAGGTCCACAGTCAGACCCCCAGTCAGGCCTCCTAATTCTTCCCCTGCATCATCTTGCCTTGCCAACCCATTCTCCACTCTGCAGAACCACCACCACCCCCCACCCCCGCCAACTTCCCTCAACGGCTGCCTGTTGTTCCAGCTTTATGTCCAAAATCTGGACAGCTTGAGCGATAAGACCCTTTCAGATCTGGGTCATAGAGCTTGGTCTGTCACAGCTCTGCCTTCAGCTCCCTCAGCATCAGACTTCCCTAAATCTTGTTCCCACAGCTTGGGAATTATCATCTAGTCTTCGAGAACTTCCACAAAAGAGTTGCCCATAGGCAATAGTCCCCACACTGAACTGACTCCAATCAAGCACCCAGAGACTTCTTGCGCTGGGTATCTCCTCTTGGTTAATATGATGGTCCTTCTGGACTTCCTGGCACTCTTCCTTGACTCGATTTCTTTGCTTGGCTTCCACAGCATTGCCCTCTCCTGGCTTTTCCTCCCTTCTCTGATGGCGCCTTCTCAATTGTCTTTGTAGATTCTTCCCTTAGTTCTTCAAACTCTCAATGCTGGAGACTTGGTATTCCTGTTTTTCCCATCTACTCTCATTACTGAAGGCTTTAGAATCAACCTGTTTTCTACACGCTGAGACTCTGTCCCAAACACCGACCCACATATTCCAATTGCCTACTTGACATCATGTGGATATTGAAGGGTATCTCACATGGTACACACTGAAACTGAACTCCTAATCTCCCCTGGCCTCAGACGTGCTTCTCCAATAGCCTTCCTCATCTCATCTCAGTAACAACTCCATTTTTTCACACTCCTCACCCAATCCTGCAAAGTATTTGTCAGCTCCACCTTCAACACATCCCCAGCATCTCACCTCCTTACCCTTCTGCCCTTACCACCCTGGTCCAGGCTGCCACCATCTCACTGAAATATTATAGTAGCCTCCCTCTGGGCACCCTTCCCCTCCCAAACTTGATAGATCACATCATTTCTCACCTTGTAACTATCCAGTGCCATCACCTTTCTATCTCCTCTCTTACTTCATCTCTCTCTCCACCCAGGCCAGCTTCCTCACTGCTCTCACTCTTCTTAAAACACATCAAGCACATACCTACCTCAGGGCCTTTGTACCTGCTCTTCCTTCTATCTAGAATGCTTTTCTTCTAGTTGTCTACATGGCTCCCTACTTTACTTTGAGCAGCCTCGTATTCAAATGTCCTCTCACTACAGCAGCCTTCCTGACGAAGGGTGTAAAATAGCCCGGACTCTGTCACTCCTCGTCACTGCTTGATTTTTCTTCTAGTACTTATCATTTCTGGATATAGGTATTATCTGTTTTTCCCCCCTCTATTATCTGTATTACTTATTCGTTATCTCTCTTTTCACACCAGAATGTAAGCTCCACGAAGACAAGGTATTAGGGTAAGATTTGTCTACTGCTATCAATACTTTCCCAGTGCCCAGATCAGTGCCTGGCACACAGTGGCTACTTAGAACTTCCTCAATGCCCTCAGGGAGCACTGACCAAGTAAGCTAAATGGAATCCCACTCTGTATTTCCTCTCCCAGCACATTCACACTTGATTCCTATTATTTGTCTTGCTGCTGGTGATAAGCTTTGGGAGTTTGCGACCCATCTGTCTTGTCCATAGCTCTACTTCCAAGACCTGCCAGCAACCACCTGTGTGACTTGCAGGCCACTCCCAGACCCTCCTGCCTCTGTGTGGTCGGTCAGGCTGGTGTCCCAAGGAGTCCTCCGCAGGACTCAAAGGGTCATCCGCAGGGCTGAGAGAATGCCTGGTGCTAGGTCCTGCGACCTGGGCTCTGCGTGGGGAGCACTGCCTGGGTGCTGGAGTCGGGGTCAGGGAGGGGATGGGGGGAAGGGGAGGCGTACCTGGCGCGCGAGGGGCTGGGTGAGCGTCTCCCCGTAGGGGCTGAGTGGGCAGGCGGTGTAGTGCTGCAGCAAGTCTTGCAGCCGCGCGTGGGCGCTGTCTTCACCCAGCACCACGTGGCGTCCGTCCCCAAGCTGGGCCAGTAGGAAGTGGCGGCAGCAAGTACGGCTCCTGGGGGGCGCCATTCGGGGTCAGACGTGCTCCTTCTCCCCGACCCCGGCCACCAGTTCAAGGAGCGACCCCACCCCGCCCCGCGCCGCAGCCCTCCCCGCCCCCCACCCAGCAGCCTGCAGCGAGTGAAAAAACTCGCCGGGGCGAGGGGTGGGTAAGAAGTGCTGCCCCCACGTCCGAGCGCCGAGCCCCGCCCCTTCTCCAGCCCGAAGTCCCGCCTCCAAGTCTCCGGGCGCGAGGCCCCGCCCCTCACCTGTAAGTCAGCACAAAGGTCACGGCGCTTTCGCTGAATCGCACCAGGTAGCATCCCTGAGGCTGGGTCTCCAGCAGCCTCTCGGCCTCCCTGCGGGTGACAGCGAAGAGTGGAACGCAGCTCTAACTCTTCCAGCCTCGACCCCTCCTGCCCTCCTCTCCTGCGGGGCCCCTTGCCCCACTCTCTGCCCGTGGCTCGAGAAGGTCGAAGTGGGAGAGGATGTGGCAGTGCTCTCCCGCGGCCGCGCTGGGTGTGGACGGCCCTGCCATTCCCACATCCTTCCTGGCTTCCTCCTGGAAGGGCGGGCTCGGGGGCTGGGGCTCGGGCTGCAGTCACAGGACGAGATGGACTACTGGATTGCAGAGGGGAACAGGAGATCCAGGAGGAGTGAAACTCGGAAGTGAAAGAGGGGGAAGGACTGGAGAGAGGAACGTGAGGACAGGGCTGGAGAGAGCCGGAGAGAAAAATGAAGGGAGAGACAGAGAGGTGGAAACTGAGGACTAGATGCCCCAGGAGGAGAATCGAGCCTATGGGGGGAAAACAGAGGCACAGAGGAGGTTGGGCTAGACCCCCCAGGAGAGATGCCTCAGCGAATGGCCTGGAAAACACCAGCAGTCATACCTGGGACTTGTTGCTTTAGGATTGACTGGCCACAAGCCCCAGGATGTGTCCTTGCCACTCATGGGCCTGTTTACTCCCCTGTGACTCACCTCCGGGTGATGAAGCCATGAAACCAGGTGGGGGCTGCCCCGTGCTGCAGGAGCCAGTGGGCCTGGGTCTTTTGGAACCAAGCCCGGGTCTCATCTTGCAGGGAGAGGCCTCCTTCCCTGGGCACCTCCTCAGCCTGCCCAGTGTCCTCTGGCTTGGAGGCAGCTCCCGGGACCTGGAGAGATGCCTGGATAGGGGACGGGTTTAAGGAAGGGGAAGAACTTTTGCTTAGTGGGCCTTGTCCTGACTCTAAGCCAGCTGCCACCTTCCTATCCTCTTACCCAACTGCTCCTAGGCCTGGGAAAGAACCTCCTGGAAAGAACTCTCATCCTAGTTGCTTATTTTGGGGTATAATTGCCCAGAAAATCCTTCCCAAGTTCTAACTTAAATCATTTTCAGCTCCAGCTGTTTGTGTCTGGAGACTATCCTTCCATTTCCCTCTGGCTCTGAGGGACTTTAATCTAATAGCAACGAGCTGGTATATAGTGCTTAAGTAGGGGTGAGACAGAGATGAACAGAAAGCACTTCTCGACCCGAGGGATGAGGGAGATGCTGTACCAGGAAACCCCAGAGACCAAATAAGTTCTGGATTGAATGGGTTTGAAGGGAGGATTTCCTGATGACCAGTCGGTAAGAACTGAGACACTAGGCCAAGAAAGGCCATGTACAGAAATGCAGAAGCCTGCTTCTGGGCCTCACTGTGCTGTTCCCTGCTCACCTGTGGACTCAGTCTGAGCTTCCCAAGGGCAGAAGAACATTGAGTATGAATGGTCAATTTGGCAGATGAAGGAGGTACAGCTCTCCTCCTTCCCCCACTCTGGGCCCCAGATCGTTCCTGTGCTCTCCCCATTGGCCTTTGTCCATCAGTCCTTACTCATGGAAGGGGGCAAGCAGATGAGGGCGCTGCATTGTTCCTACTCACCGCAGCCTGGACAACAAGGTTCCTGGAGATGGGTTCTGCCTCTTTGGTTTTCAGGGCCTGGAGTCTGGGTCCCGGAAGTAGTTCCACACCCTGACAGCTCCGGTGGGTCAGGCTCACTGGCTGGAAGGTGCTGAAGGTTGGGGCAGGGACGTTTCGGCTCCCTGTGAGCATGAAGAGGACAGCTGGACTTTCTCAGTGAGGGATGCCTTTCTGTCTCTGCTGCCCACCCCTCCCCCAGGCTAAGAGGGGCCCTGTAGGCCTCTGACTAGGGCCGTGGAGGAGAGGGACAGTTAAGACTTCAGGAGAAATGCTGGAGGGACAACGGGGAGGATATCTCAGGGAGGAGTAAGGAGCCAAGGAGGTACAGAGCTCCTGGCTCACAGAGGGCTTGCAGGAGAAATGGGCACTGGGAATGCAGTGGGAAGTCAGCAGTCTTTCTGAAGGCTGTGGGGGGACAGGTTTCTTTGGGGCAAGTGCCCCTTCTGGCACAAACTCCTCTGTCTGCTACCCGCTCATTCTCCTGCTGCTTCCTCCCTCCTTTCCAAGAACCACTCATGGGACCCTGTCACCGTTGTCCTCAGGATTGAGTGGACCTGAAGCCCAGGGAAGAAGTGGGGTAAGGGCACCCTGCCAATCAGCCTTGCCAGAGCTGGGGCCCCTCATGCCTCAAGTGGGAGCTTAGATCTGGGAGAGGGCCCAGGGGAGTGGTGGTCTTGATGTTCCCTCCCACCCACATTGTCTACCTTCACACTTACCTTGGGGGCCTATCTGGGCGAGGGAGAACTCCATGGGCAGCCTAAGAAGGGAGCTCCCAGCAGGGTATATGTAGGTGCTCTCCAAAGGTGAGCACACTCAGCAACTAATTGCTTCTCTCACCCCAGCCCCGGGGGGCAGGAAGTGTCGCCTCACCCACAGCCCTAGCCCTGGCAGAGGACCCACGTCATGGAAAGCCTAAGACAGTTGTCCCTCCCCCGGAAGCCAGGCAGTTAAAGGTGGTGGTGGTGGTGTGATGATGGGTGTTGTGTCACTTTGTATTTGGGTGTTGGGAGGGCCTTACTGTTCTCTGACTGAGGTCCCTTCTGAGTCTTTCTCCAGCACTCCCCAGGCAGGCCTCTCTCCCTCTCTCTCTCTCTCTCTCCACCCCCCCTTCTCTTCTGAGCAGTGGAAAGGGAAATGTTCGCTTCAGAAGGAAGGGGCTCAGGTGCCATAGAGATTCATACTCAGGATTATGCTCTTAGGACATTCAAGGAGGGAATGGGGAAAAGTTGCTATAGGAAGGATGTGGGTCAGACTTCTTGCAGGACTTTTTGAGGTGATATGAAATCTGTGAAGACCAGGGGGTAAGAGAAAGGGCCTGGCTTCACCCTCCTGCAGATAATGGAGCTGGGTTAGGCAAAACCAGGCAATGCTGGAGGAAGGGAGAGAGACTCTCCTCCAACTAAGCAGGTCATTGTTGCAGCAACACTGTTAATGACATCAGTGCTGAAGTCTTCAACTCACAATGTGCTTATGCCTCCTGTAACAGGAGAACGAGCCCATTTCCCTCTCTTACAATCCTCACAAAGTAGGAAGGAGAGAGGGAACATTCTCCATTTTCCAGAATGGGAAACTGAACTCAGTTTACCTTAGTCAGGGTCTTCTAGTGTCTCAGAAGTTGGTGGCAGAGTTGGGACTTGAAACTAGATCTTTCTTACTAAATGAACATATTGCAAAATGTTCTGGGGCACCCCTTCCTGCATCCCCACCCCCACTGCTAGCACATAAGAGACCAAAACCTTTTGCCCATATGCATAAAGTTAATGAAGCCTTTGCAAAAATCTATTGCCTGCAGGTAAAACCAGCCTTTTCAATCCCCCATTAATGACTAAGAAGCCAGATAAAGAAGGTTACAACAATGGGTATCCGGACTTGCATCTCTACAGTGCCTTGCTCAAAAAAGAAGAGATGAAGCTCTAACTTTTGCCTGCCTCTGCACATGGATAGCATCAAAATATCCTTAGGTCAAAATAACTTAAGACCAGAAACCACCCTGTCAAGATTTACATTCTTAATGTCAGTGACTCACTGTTCCCACCTATATAAACTAAATTCAAACTTGTGTTAATTGGAACAGAGCTCACAGGCTAAAATCCGTGAGATAGACAGCAATCCTAGGACTTTAACTTGCACTCCAATCAGCTCAAGTCACACAATAGGGCTCTGGTAAAGGTGGCAGTGGTTTGGGAAATTAGGAGACAATGAAAAGAATCTCAGGGGGATATAAGTTTGTGTCTAACATAGTGTCTCTCTTTGTATTCAACTCTTACACTACAATGTAGGGCTTACATTTATTCTGTAGAGAAATCCTTACTTGTTCTCCAAGAATGGAGTCATGAGTTCAATGAGTCACATTGCCTCTTTCAAGGTGGAGGTCAAAGGTGTTTTTCTCAATGACTGAGGCAAGAGGTGGAAAAGCCTTCAATCCCTCATGGTTACAACTAGTTCAGAGAATCTGATTACTATTTATCATCTTCCTTGTCTACTACTTATTCTAGATGCCCCTCCTTCTGTTTTACTTCATCTAGTGTGGGGTGGCCCAGAACTTCATTTTCCAAATGTGTAGACCCATAGCTGCCTTACCCTTGTTATCATGACTTCCTATTAACAGTCACCAGGCATGAAAGTACTTAGAGATGCCCCAGAGGGTCCCTGGTTACAAGGCATTCTCCTCCCTGTCCCCCAGTGTGAGGGGGCAGATATCTTAGCTTGTGGTAACTATGATTAATTATCCCAGTCAATACAGGAACTTTCTTCCTTTCCTTATTGGTTTACTGCATCAAAAACCCGAAGTGGTAGTTACAGCTTCCAGTTTACTGGAATTCTTAATATGTCTTCCAGTAGAAATCTTTTCCCTCTGTTAACTGGGACATTTAACTAGATCCAAAGAGTAGGGTCAAGGGAAGCACAAATTGGCAACTAAGTCACTGGATGTAATAGAGAAGGGAGTGATTCTTAATTCCAGTTCTTGCTTCCAAGATCTGTATTTTCTGGTTGTAGGGGACTATGTGCTAGTATCTCCTCCCCCCTTCCTATGTTGAAACTCTAGCCCCTAATAAGATGGTATTAAGGGATGGGTTCTCTGGGAGGTAATAAGGTCAAGAGGGTGAAGCTTCATGATGGGGTTAGTGACCCCTCCAGAACTGTGAGAAGTAAATGTTGTTTAAGCCACCATCTGTGGCATTCTTTTTTTTTTTTTAAAGATTTATTTATTTATGCATACAAGACCTGGGGTACAGGCTAGAGGTGCAGGGCATGAGAGGATTCACCAGAGACAGAGTGGGGAACAGAACAGGCAGACTGACTGAAATACACTGCTGAGGGGAGCAGCGCGTGAGCCAGGAGAGGTCTGCAGCGCCATGTGAGTAGCTCCCTGGCCAGCCAGGGATCAAACTCGTGTTGCAGAGGCTGCAGATCGCTTCATAGTGCTGTGCTTAACCCCTTGTGTCACCAGGGAGGCCTCATCTGTGGCATTCTTATTGTAGCAGCCCAAGTGTACCACAAGCATTAGTTAAGGCATATATCCTGTGCTGGAGGAGAGAGGTCCAACCCCACAAAGCGTTGTTCTTTCGATGGTGTCTTCCTGAGATTTTGATTGGCTATTCTATCAAACCTGATAATTCTGGATAATGGGATAAGACCAGTAATCCTGTGGTCATGTACCCATGGTTGTACTTCTTTGCTGTAAAATGAATTTTTTGGTTTGAGGCGCTGTGATGTCAGACACAATATTGAGAGAGCAGGGCATTCTGTAAGCACATGGGTGGTGATCCCAGGGTTTGTTAATTCTGGCAGGGACATATCACTGCTCCCTCAAAGGGGAGAGGGGTCTGATATAATCAGCCTCCTACCATGCAGCTGGACATTTTCTTTTCCCTACTAAGTAATAGTATCATCAGTAGGGCTCAGTGTCTGTCTCTGCTACAAACAGAGAGCTACTCAGCAGTAGCTCTCAACCATGGTATGAGGGTGTCTGTGATCTCGAGACCAGACAAAGCCTCCCTCTTTCTACTAAATCCACTATGCTTGTTACCCCCTTGTGCCAGTGCTGGGGTGACTAGTCTGAAGAGAAAGACTAGCTGACAGCCACAAGATGTCTTATTTCCCACTGGTTGTTCACTACTTTCTCCTGACTGATGCTCAACTGGTGGACATTAATGAGGCCCAAAGATCTGCATCTTTGTGTGCACTTCCATCTACCAGGTCTGGGACTAGGATAAGGCAAGTGAAGCACCTTGCACTTGAAATTTAAGAAGTCACTCGCTCTCAGCATTGTTGAAATGCACCCCAGTCCTGGCCTTACCATAAAACTTACTCCCCACCACCACTTCCTTTTCTCCAATCTTTCCTTATTATTTTTTCCAGGACTCTCACCAACTGAACAAGTAGTTTGCCATTTCCCAGTACTTCATATAATCTTTATTATGGACTATCTCTCCCTAGATACAAAATGGATGACCAAGTCATACTTGTAGTTCTTACCCCTGGGAGGATTTCCCTTTACCCCTGTCCTGCAGGGACACACTGTGTGGGACCATAATGCTGTGTGGGCCAACATATCATGCTGGTACATGTGTCGGTGGTTATAGGGAATCCAAGAGGTCATCAATGAAGCAGCAGCAGCAGCAATACAGTAGAGGTAGGTGATTTCAGAATCTGGACCACTTGCTTATGCAAATTGCTTATGCTTTCTGGAGTGGCTCAAGCCATGTCCACATATATCCTTTCATTCACATAATGGATACTGCTCTGCCTGTCCAACTTTATGACTCAGTGGACCAATAACATTCAACTTATGTTGGGCAGCTCAGTTTGAATGGTCATTTGATGTCCATTGTCGGGCACTCAACTCCTACCAGGACACAACAGGAGCATATCAGGAGATGTTTTTCAGATGTAGTTCTTTGTTATTGAGGAAATGACTTTGCTGTAGAACCCTGGGTGCGTGCTGCAATCCCCCATCAGAGTGTGCCTCAGATTCTACCCTGCATCCTGTCCACACCACATTCCTAGCACATTGGACCCACTGGACCCACAGCCCAAGAAACAAAGCAGCCTATTCTAGCCTGGGTCTGCAACGGGACCTTTCTACCCTGGGACTCTCTGGATGTTGGCAGCCTTGTGCTTCATCCAACAACTAGTGTGAAGTGATATTCTCAAGTGCAGCAAATCATGCCCCCCAATTCCAATGAGGCCAAATATATTCTGTGCCTCTTTCTTAGGGCTAACAAGTATAAGGTGCTGTCCCTTGTTTCTTAGAGCAAGACCAGGGCTAAGTTCCAGACCAGGAACTTAGGAAAGAAGGTGGTAAGGGGTGTGTGAGGAGGCCTGCGTCTGATACAGCAAGGATAATACCAGTGTCTTTTTTCACTGGGTTGTTCCTAAAATCTGCTTCCAGGGAAAAAAACAGATGACTTTTCACTTTCACCACACTGCCCTCTGTGCCTTTCTTTATTAATAGCCCACCATGACTTCGTATAATTCATTATTATTTACTAATTACCAAATAGAGGGTTGGTCTTGCTTTGAGTATTACCTGGAATCATTTTTCAGGTGAGGACACAGAAATCAAGGTCCAGTCTCACAATGAGAACATCCATTTGGATGTGGGCTGGCTGACACAGGACTCTAGCCCGGAGTGGGGAGGGGAGATTATACCCCTGACGTCCCAACTGTGTCAATGAGTGGGTGCTGGCCATGCTCAGTGCCTCCCCCATACGAACTTATGCACCCTCACAGCAGATCTATGAATC